ATATATATATATATATATATATATATACACCTTGCTACGTGTACTGTGTTAGGCTAACCGAGACTTTCATTTGCACTTATATATTGTTGCTCTTTTGTTAGTTTTGACTGCTTTTATTGTCCTCATTTGTAAGTCGCTTTGGATAAAAGCATCTGCTAAATGACTAAATAAATAAATATATATATATATTTGGAGCCTGTATATATATATACACACACTGCCATTCAAAAGTTTGGGATCAGTTAAAGATTATAAAGATTTTAAATGTTTTTTTTTTAAAGATGTTTCTTATGCTCATCAAGGCTGTATCTATTTGATTAAATATTGTATTAAAAATACAGAAAAATATTTGGTAAAATATTACTGCAATTTAAAATAACAGTATTTTTTATTTTAATATACTTTAAAATATAATTGATTCCTGTGAAGCAACGCTGAATTTTCAGCATCATTACTCCAAGTCTTCAGTGTGACATGATCCTTCAGAAATCTTCAGAAAGTTTGGGGTCAGCAATTTCTTTCTTTCTTTCTTTCTCTTTTTTTAAAGAAATTAATACTTTTATTCAGCAAGGATGTGTTAATTGGATAAAAAGTGATAGTAAAGATTTGCATTGTTAGAAAATATTTATATTTTGAATAAATGCTGTTCTTTTTAACTTTTTATTCATAAAAGAATCAAAGAAAAAAGCATCACAGGTTCCAAAAAATAAAATAAAAATAAAATTAAGCACCACAACACTGATAATAAATCAGCATATTTCTGAAGGATTATGTGACACTGAAGTCTGGAGTAATGGGCTGATGAAAATTCAGTGTTGTGTAATGGCACTCCTAGCCAAAATATTTGACCTTTTATATGTTGTTTTCAAATACTCTGCAACTTCACTTTAAGCAAACACCTGCTATAAAAGACACCACTAATCAACCAGTAACCGTGGTAACTACAGGTGCTTTGAACTCTGGACTCTGCTGTGTTAGCACTTAGTTTCCTCCATTGCCTGGCTACTGATTTCTGTATGCAAAGCACAGTCACTCCTGGAGGTTAAATAAGGACTGTAGAAACAGCTTCATACTTTAAATGAATTAGTAACAGATTATATAAAACCGAAGAGGGGATAA